TAAATAATCCAAAGTTCCTTAGTATTTTTGTTATTATTTTTAAAAAATAGTGCCCAATACAAAAGTAGAACAGAGCTTACTTTAACTCAATTTAATTCAAATAATTATATTGAAGTTTTCGGCTCTTGTTTTGAAACATGAGACCTCTTATGTCGCGAGTTGGAATCATATTTTTAAATAAATAATTATATATATATATATATATATATATATATATATATATATATATATATATATTTCCATTATATGAGACTAGCCTTCGTCCCACCAAATGACCAAACAACTCGTTACCTTGCCTACCAGGCAAGCCAAGCGGAAGGACTAACTTCCTGTTGCCTCATTCTAGTTTCCATGTCGTTCGTGACATTAATGAATCAGAGTAGATTTTGAGACAACCATCGATCGACTCATTTTGCAGACTACACAAACTTGATTTTGCTTGTTTCTTTAGCCCCACTTCTTACTATTTATCTTCTTTCTTACCTATATTTATTAGCTTTTCTTTCATTGGATATAATTGACATATGACATATGTTCGTGTCAGATATTGCGATGGTCTGGCAGACGGCCGACCTCGTGTAAACAAAAAAGTTACCAATAAAGAAATCCTTGTTATCAATCAGTACAACAGTTTAACCCGCATCTAGATATAAATATTTCAATTGTCTACTTGTCTGTCTCTAGATTGATTTATCTGTCTGTTAATATTTATGTAATTGGATGTCTTTATAAGTAGATATATATCTGGTTTACTCTGTTTATAGCGCTTTATCAACGCCACATTACCCAGAATTCGTGCATGAAAATAATTACTGAGGCCAGCTATTAAATGTCGCCATATTTTATATACTAGCGATGAATACAGTGATCCTTGCAGTTTTTCCAAGGTTGTAATTGTTTGTAGAAAGCGAGTTTTTGCAATATGTTTAGTTCAAGTGTGCTGTTCAAATTCCTAGAATTTATGAACACCTCGTATCTATCTGTTTACCGACCTGTAGAAATTGAATTTTAGGCTATGCGTTTCTAAGTGTTTATCTGTCCAATATATATATATATATGTGGCCGGACGATTGCATATAGCATGAAACAGACTGTCGCCTCTAAGTGTTGACTTCTATGTTCACTTTTATATTTACACACGCTCTATCTCTGATATTGAGCACTTTATTCCATAAATATAGCACACCTTAAGACTATATTTCTTTATATATATATATATATATATATATATATATATATATATATATATATATATATACTGAAAATCTATCTGATAATTAAACTATCTGTTTCTGATTTTAAACATCTGTCATTTTAGCCACTGTTTTCTAAATGATCTTTTTTGTTCTTATGTTCAATCCATGATATTCCAGCACCCGTCAGTAGAATGACATTGCTTCCACTTTGATCCTATTCTTCATCTGTGAAAAGATGCTAGGAAATGCAGGAAAACAAGCGAAGTTTAATTAAAATTCTTAATAAGTAGCAATCAATAGCATCAAATGAAAAGAGTAACATTGATAAAAATATATTAGATTATCAGCCATACCCAAATGGTCGATCAGAAAAAGCGTTCAATTAGAATGGAGCAAAAACAGCATCATGTTTAGATGTAACGGAATTTATCTTCTTCAATTACTTTAAAGAACTTTCATTAAAAAAACATTGAATTAATGCAGTTACTGATCTAACAGAAATAGTCGAGGACATGAAGTGGTAAACCAGGCAACATGACTCACTTCAGACCACAATTATTTTGGAGTTTTTGTAATCCAGTTTGTCAGTATGCTACCAGGGATGTAAAAAAAAGATACATTTATAAAGCAATTGCTAAGTTTGATGAAAATTGGTTGAAGGATCAACGAAAAATAAGAAAGCAGAAAAAATCGCTATTTACGCGGGTTTTTACTATATGGGTGGACTTAATTATCAAGCTAAATGACTGTTGAACAATCAACTTATTGTTGGCTACAACTGGATGAAGTTTGTATTAGATTGCTTGAAAATTGAGGAGTTTTTAGTTTAAAATTTTTGTTGAAATCGATTTTTCCGTTTTTCGGGGTTTTCGCTAAACGCAGTGGCGTAGAAATAAAAATGAGGTATCGCTGAGCTCGTCATGATGTAAGTAACCTGCATACTGAGTCTGAACGAAACCAGAGGGAAAAAGTTGAATTTATCGATTTTTCATCGGTTTTATCGATTATTGATATTTTAAAAATTATGGATTTTTACGCTAAGAATCTGTCTCTTAAGTAGTACAATGTATGTGCCAAGCTTGATCAAAATTGGCTGGATGGATCTCGAGTGAAAAGGTATGAAACAGACAGAGAGAGAAACAGATACACAGACATCTGTTTTATATATAAATTATCAGATAAGTTCTGCGAGCGCAATATTGCTTGATGTAAAAGCTGGGTTTATTTTTGCCTAACATGGGGCGCCCATGACGTATTATCAGCGTAAACTTAATTAACAATGACAGATTATAGACAAAGGGGTACTATATACACTACAGTTCAAATCTTTAAAGCGACCCCAAGAATTAGTATGTGATGAAATTGACAGAAGAGTGAAAAAGAATGAAAAAGAGATCTTAGAGTCATTGAAAAAAGAACGGAAAAAAAACTTATACTTTTGCAACGAATGCCCAAAATTAGTCCAGCAGTAATCAAGGCTAAAGGAGGCCATTTTGACGAGACCAAAATTTAATCTTAAAATGCTTTTTTTCTTATTGTCACAATAAACATTCTAATAAAAAACATCTCACTGATTTAACCTTGTCTAATAATTTTCTCTTATTTAACGTACAAAACAACTACATTTTGGGCCAATTTAAAAAAATTGCCAGGGATGTCCTCAAGATTTTCTACTGTGGTTATATATATATATATATACATGCATATATACATATATATATATATATATATATATATATATATATATATATATATATATATATATATACAAAGTATATGATTGGTGTATACAGAATAAATTCCAATAACCAACAATTACTATTCTTAAAAGAGTGCTCAATACAGAGTAGAGCAGATATAATTATTTATTTAAAAATTATAACATAAATATGTTATATCATAAATATTTTATAAATATGTTATAACATATTTATGTTATAATTTTAAATAAATAATTATATATATATATATATATATATATATATATATATATATATATATATATATATCTGAAGGGTCGTTTTGTGGACCTTGGTGGGGTTCTGTAGAAAGCCTTTACCAGTATAATGAAATCATATGTGTAGGTGTCTGGATGTCGGTTCCTAGGAACTGAGTTGCTTGATCCTCATACGTCGAATATGGCGGGAAAATCCAGCAAGGTTTAATTGTATGTTAAGTATAGTGCTCGAAATTGTAGTTAAACACTGAATTTCATGTTGTTTTTTTTTTTTCGTCCATCACACTCATTTAAAAAAAATAGGTTTGTGTCTACGAGGTAGGCAGAATTTCTACATCCTGGTAATTTTTGGAAAATTGCAATGACTAAAGTGATGTCATGTATAAGGGTTATTGGGAAAGAGGCGACACCAACATGGACAGTTTAGTATTCGATTAGAATACTCAATACCTTATTCCAAAATAGACATCGACATGTTCGGTTCTCTTATAAAGAAACTTATATATATATATATATATATATATATATATATATATATATGTGTGTGTGTGTGTGTGTGTGTGTGTGTGTGTGTGTGTGTGTGTGTGTGTGAAATAATTTTTTCAAATGGAAAACGTTTAATTGAGATAAGGATTTATCCTCAATCCGATACAAAAAAGCTGGGAAAATGCGATGAACTAAGAATTAAATAGAAAAGATACAGAATAAATATGAAGGACTTCCATTTTTTTAAGTCAATCGTTTGCTTTCTCTTTTAATCACGAGAAACGTCAGCTTAGGGAAAAAAGTACTATGATTCTATATTTACGTATGCACACAAATACACATACGCACATTTCTTTCTTCCGTTTGTGAATCTGATGTAGGCTACAAAGGCGAAACGAGTAATCAAATCGATGTTTAATGAAAATTTTCCCAGTTGTTCAAATTTCTTAAAAGCTTAAAAAACTGTTGGGATACTATATGTTATTTTAAACACGCACACACACAGATATATACATACATACATATATATATATATATATATATATATATATATATATATATATATATATATATATATATATAAGGGATCGGAGGGGAAAATAGAGGAAGACAGAATCTAAGACAAATTGATATGGAAAGAGCAATAAATTGAAGTAAGACAAAAAAACATCCACCCAGAATTTTAAATCTGAAAATGAAGTTCGCCATTAATATACATATACACAAAATCACACAGATGTACACACATGCACACACGTATGCTCACTTAAATATAGACGCACACGCAAGTACGCGGTTAGACTCACGTATGTAGAACGTGCACGCAGACACACACATATACATATAGACACACCCGCGTGAACGCATGCAGAGATACAGATCCGCATACATACGCAGATGAACATGAACACTGACACACATATACACACACACGCAGATACGCACTTGGAGAGTTACATCCATCCACAGTCACACACTTAGAGGCACATCTTGTTCAAATATCGGTTCCTTTGCGATTAACGAAGTTGAGCAACATCGAACCTGGTCAGTACCATGATGGGTGACGTTTGGAAATACCAGGTATTATACGCTTGGATCTGGTGTCATGGATAAGGACTCGGAATTGTTGATCGGATAACCAAGTTCGAATTCCAGTTGAGTCCTTTTTATACACTTACACGCAAATACTCTAAAGGAAGATATGAATCCAACTTTTTTCCTCCCAGCTATGGGTTAATTAGTAACATCTCTGTCACTAATTCATTATTATCTCCAAAAATAAAATTAATTTGCATACATATATATAGATAGATAATGAACAGACTGGGATGGATAGTTAGATGTATACACACAGATGAGTATTAGATAGATAGATAGATAGATAGATAGATAGATAGATAGATAGTGAACAGAGAGATAGATAGATAGATAATGAAGAGTCTGTGATAGATAGATAGATAGATAGATAGATAGATAGATAGATAGATAGATAGTGAACAGAGAGATAGATAGATAGATAATGAAGAGTCTGTGATAGATAGATAGATAGATAGATAGATAGATAGATAGATAGATAGATAGATAGATAGATAGATAGTGAACAGACACTGAGAGATAGATAGATAATGAAGAGACCTTGATAGATAGTGTTGAAACTTGAATAAAACATGGAATAATAATAATACAACACAAAATGTACTTAAACAAAATGTATTGACACAAGAACGTGTACACAATATTTACAGATAGTTTGGTATATTCTTGGGAAGACCGTTCCTGTAGAATGGGTTGACTTAGTCGCAGTCGGGCAGAGTCTCTGGATTGGATCTCTTCTTCCTCCCCCGTCTTCCCGGTACCAACCATATTTATATGGTCGGTACTCCACTATGTAAATTAGGTGGATCGTACCACAACAGATAGATAGATAGATAAATAGATAGATAGATAGATAGATAGATAGATAATGAACAGACTCTGAGAGATAGATAATGAAGTGTCTGTGATAGATAGATAGATAGATAGATAGATAGATAGATAGATAGATAGATAGATAGATAGATAATGAAGAGACTGAGATAGATATTTTAACAGAAATTTAGATACGTCATTAAACAACCCAAAGAGATTGATGCCGCTTAACAAAAACAACGAGCAACCAACACAGACAGATGCAGAAACACACATACACAGAAATGTACGCACGCATATACACCCACGTAAACACATATAACATCCAAACCTATACATACACATATATTTCTACACGCAGATATACATATGAACACACACGAACGCGTACGCACACACACGCACACACAACAATGTCGAGAGAACTATGCTTTCAATTTTACGTATTCATCTTTTATGCTTATATTGTTCCACCTTATATATCATATTCTGTCGAATGATTCATCTAGATTTGATAGGAATTGATTATTCTGTGAAAGGATTCCTTCAAAATTAATTAGACAAAGATATTTGATTCTATTAAACGATTTCTTCAAACTTAATTAGATATATATTGATGCTTCTCTGGAAACTTCAGTGCGATGTAATGTTTAAGAAGCTTGTCTCGCTAGATCAGTTACGACTGAATCATGAATTAGATCCTAACTAAGCGCTCTGTACTTTTGGCCTCGTGCCACATCGAAACTATGCTTAGTAAATAGCCATATTGATGATTCTGTTAGTGAAATTTAATTGGAAACAAACTGGTATTGTGTTCAATGAGTGCTTCACATTTGTCTAGGTTTGGAAAGATGGTTCTATGAAACGATTCCTTCAAATTTAATTAGATATATTTATGGTGTAATATATTGGACACACACACACACACACATATATATATATATGTATATATATATATATATATATATATATATATATATATATATATATATATATATAAGGCTTATATTCCATGGTATAATGTATTACATTGGAATCGTAATCACGATCAATTCATCAGACCTACAATTTGAATTTGTAGGCCTAATGAATTGGATCGTGATTACGATTACAAATTATAAATTATAGCCATGGAATATTAGTGTTTGAGCCTTTTATATTACATTCTTACACTGCCTTGTACATTGAGCTCTACCTGGATTCTATCGTCTTGAAATATATATATATATATATATATATATATATATATATATATATACACACCCAAGTATATGATTGGTGTATACGGAATGAATTCCAATAACCAACAATTACTATTCTTAAAAGAGTGCTCAATACAAAGTAGAGGAGATATAATTATTTATTTTTTAAAAATTATAACATAAATATGTTATAAAATCACTACAAAAATAGCCATTTTGTTTCAACACCCCCGGTTTCTTATCAAGTGATGATGTTGAATGTAAAATAAATGGTTTTAAAAGTTTCAAATTAATTAACGATCCTTCGCTTGGGGAAAACGTTGTTACAAAAGCAAGAATGACCAATGAAAATACAAGAATAGGAAAATTCAAAAAGCTTGACAACGAAGTCATGTTATAATAGCTATTCAGATCTTTAAAATACGGGTAATATTAAAAAAAGAATTTATAATATATATATATATATATATATATATATATATATATATATATATATATATATATATATATATTTACCACTAACATTATATATATATATATATATATATTATAAATTCTTTATATATATATATATATATATATATATATATATATATATATATATTTACCAATAATATTATATACATATATATACATATATATATATATATATATATATATATATATGTGTGTGTGTGTGTATGTGTGTGTGCGTGTGTGTGTGTATGCGTGTGTGTCATATTTAATTAGAAATGGTCTTAGACTTTGTCCAATGAGTTTTTTTTGTTTATTTTTTTTTTTAAATTCAATAGATTTTGACAGATGAATCTATCAAAAATTTCCTTCAAATTTAATTAGAAATTACAAGGTCCTTCCTTCGAATAGAAATTGATGTAGAAACATGATTCTTTCAGATATTACCTTCAAGATTAACTCGATATCTATAAGTAACTCTCACAAAAGATTCCATACCTTAATTGGTGATGGTTTCGTAAAATGATTCCACCAAAATTAATTACACATTGGTAGATTATTCCACGGTTCTGCTAATTGTTATTAGATTTCGAATGCAGTCACATGATTCCTCCAAATTTTATATGATATCAATAGATCCTTCTGTTAAAAGATTGCTCCAGATTTTATTGCATATCAATTGATGCTTCTTTCAAAACCTTATTTTAAATGTGCATAGATATACGAGTATTGTCTGAAAATTTCAAAGGTTGGCGAATATACACATATAGAATGTGACCAAATGAGGTTTATTTTTCAATATAGTCCCTTTGCCAGTTTACCTGGAAAGAAAAAATGCAGTTATTAATAAGAAGAGTTAAAGATTCATGCATGCAAGGTTCACAGCTCTAGCATCACTCTTTCATATTGAGCCAAGGAACTTTTTAGCCTACCCTAGTAGATTGATAATTCTACCAAAAGGAGCCTTCAGTCTTCGAACGAGCTACTTTCACCCGTACCCCAACTGCATGAATTTAAGCGTGCTACTAGTTTGGCATTTCGGTCCCACCCTTTCACTGTCGAAACAGTTAAATGTAAGCGCTTCTTCTACTCCAACAGATTTTCTCTCGCACTTCCTGACAGTGGAACTTCTTTCCTTCTACTTGCTTCCCTAGTAGCTATAATCTTCAAATATTCAAATGTAATGTCAATCGACATCTTCCGATGCCTTGATCTTCATCCCCGTCCTCCTCTTTATCATTTCCGTAAGCAACACTCTTTACTCTTGCTGTCACTCTCTGTAACCTTTCGGTATTTATCATTTCACCCACGAGAAACGAATATGGCACAAGGCCGGTTTTATTGTGGGTTTCTCCGAGCCCGTAGGCTCGGCCAAAAAAATAGCCTTTGAAGCCGATTAGACGGGTTCAGGCCCTGTCTACCTCCCCGGACGAAACCTTGCCCTTCGGCAAAGCCTCGTCCGGGTTCCTCTCTGCTAACGCAGAGAGTTCGACAGGAGGCGTCCGCAGTCAAAGACCGCGAGACGCTATTCTTTCTCTGTAACCTTTCGCGCGCTAGTGGTACTCCTACCTTAATTAGGGTGAAATGATTAAAAAAAATGTGTAGATAACTAAATCCCTCAAATAATTCAGTCAAATTTATATAGGATTTATTCATATCATCTTAATGATGATTCAGTATAGTTCTGCAAAGCCATATTCTATTTTCTCATATCTGGGATGATTTCATTTTGCGCAATAAAATTTATACTCATTTTCTTTTTCTTCGATAGAAAGTTTCTCCAAACCATCGCAACAACAACAAACAACAAACAACAACAGCAACAACAAAAACGTACACTAATCTAAAATATTTGGGTTTGATTCGTGGTTGCTTGAGTTGGGAAACAGTGATTCATTGCTAATCGTACGGCGTTCACGGATCCAACCTGTTCTTCGAGGCAAAACCCAGACAAATGTTTGAATATTGAGGTCGTAGACACTCCGTAATGCAAGAGCTACTATTGCGTAGAGTATAAAAACAGATATGGTAATTCCAACTTAACAATATTAGAATTCAAGCTGATCAATACAACAAATTGAGAATAGGTATATTAGTGATACCGTATGGTTTTACGAATAGTACGAATTAAGTATAATACAACGCCGTATATCTGATGCTAAAACTGGAAATAAATTTCGACTTCGTATAAAAATCAGTCCTACGTCACTTTTTTTAAAATTATGCGATTAAAATTTTAATTTCATTGTTATATTTCACTAAAATATTTAATTTTTCACTATATTAAACCTTTGAGACATGCGTTCCTGAACAATTTTAACCATTCTGCCTGAGATCCTGAGTCAAAATTTGCAAATAATTGGTATATAACGTTTCGCGGTATATATAAAAATAATTAAAAGTGTTTACCCACCGTTCAACCGGTGGATGGGCTTTAAGTCATTTTTCTCTACCACCGTTCAACCGGTGGATGGGGATTACGTCATTTTTCTCTGTCACCGTTCCTGAACAATTTTAACGATTCTGCCTGAGCTCCTGAGTCAAAATTTGCAAATAATTGGTATATAATGTTTCACGGTAGATATTGAAATAGTTAAAAGTTGTTTACCCACTGTTCAACCGGTGGATGGGCAATACATTTTCCTCTACCACCCATATACCAGGGCCATTACAACGCTTTTATCATCATCTCTTTCTTATTCGCTCCCTATCATAATACTTTTTCAAAATTACTCATTTTGAGACCATTAAGGAATTATGACCTGCTGCTTTGACATTGTTAAATTCTCAGAAGACTCTGACCTTCCCAGATTGTATAAATGGCGCCGTTTCATCGCTTGTAGAGTTTATTTGAACTCATATGAAGAAATGAAACTTATTCTTAACAATCCTTATCATCAGGATCAGGTTTTGAATTCAGAGTTGTCTTTCTCCTAGACCAGTTGCCATCCAAGGCTATAGAACCTGGTCTGCACTGCTATATACCCATAGATGGAGAGTGAAAAAGAGGATTCATACCTTTCCCAAGGGTATTAGCACGTAAGTGAATATAATGGACTCAACTGGAATTCGAACTCGGCTCTCCGATTCCTCAATCCGAGCCGCTATCCATTATTCCACTATTTTAAAAAAGAGTTTTTTTCTTAAATTGAGTAAAAATTTCCGAAAACTTTTATTTTTTGGCTTTTAATTTTCGTTCGAAATTTGTGGTAATACACACAAGAAAATACGGTAATAGCAAAGGTAATAATAACCATTTCCTTATAAGGAAATATTTAGCATTTATTGACGAGATATGATTAGTTGAAATTTATAAAATCATTCTCTTAAATCCAGGAAATAGATCTCTCAAATCCAGTAGATGTTATCGATCTTACCAATGATAATAATAAAGTTTTCCTTCCTGGCCTTTTATTTGAAGTCATGAGAAACGTCAATAAATATTATGTCCTTATTTTTTGTTTGAGTTACATGAGCTATCTATTTTAGTTGTTGAAAGTCCTCAAGTGATGTGATATTTGCTATTTGATAAATTTATTGGAGAGGGGAATTAACAGGAGATAACGGATAACTGACATCCTTTAAACACGGTACGAGGGAACTAGAACAGTCTACCCCAGTGAGCTAAATAAACACTTCAGTTCGACATTCCAACCACCTGAAGAAGCCTGGAGCGTAAAACGGCCGAAACGTTGTAATAAATATGGCGACAAAGATGAGGACAATAGTCCGAATAATGTAAATAGTGTTGATAAAGTTATTTGTTTGTGATTCTGTAACGCCAGCTCACAAAGTTCGAAGAAGGATGACCTTCGTAAAAGGCCTACAGGCTCTATTCGTTTTAAACATCGACCTGAGCAAGCGGTTGTATACAGCTGAAAGTTTAGATATTTCTGGAAGAGTTTGGCACCGAGATTATGTAAACAAGAACGTTATCACACAGACAATTTCATATTCCAAACTGATTAGAGAATAAAAACGAAAGCAAGTGAAAAAGAGAAATCGTGCCAGGCACTCGTTGAGAACTTTAAAAATGGTATATGAAGGCGACAGTTGTGCTTCTCATCACTGGTGTAATTCTTTTCGTTAGTTTCGTATTTAGGAATTTAATAAATCTCTATTATCTCACCAGGTTAAACTGCAGGGCAGCCTGGGCTCTCTTATCTTGTTTTGCAACAAGTCTATGAGAAAAATATATCTGAATTCAAAACCGTTTTCTGTGCTGATGGTTAGGTAAAAGCTATTTAACCTAGACTGACGATCGATCTAAAGACGGTGACTTAATAAAAACAGTGTAGGCCACTTGTGTTAACCTGTAAAAAGGTACAATAACTGGCTTTCTTAATTGACGTGTGTTGTGTATTCTGCCACTAGAGAAGATAGTGGCTTTTAAAGTAAAGCTATGTATATAAAGCTATAGTCACTTAGTTTTTTTTAAAGATACATAACATAATTTAGCGTAATTGCCTTAGCGTTTCATCGGTACTCCTGTGAATACATGACGGAGATTTTCCCGGTTGTAGATAGAACGGGTTAAGAAATCTTGAGTTTTACGATTTGCATTTTGTTCAGTAGATAAGCTTCTTCTATAATCTTCTATGGTCCGCATCAATTCAAAACATAGGCTTTACCACAACTTCCCATACCTTGTGGCTCTAAATATATATATATTTTTTTACATTTGCTAAGCCCCCCCGCTTCTCACAAGTTCATCGGGTTGCCTTCCCCTATGACTTTTGTCCTGGATTAAATGAAAGAGACATAGGGGAAGTTCTCCAAGCCCGTCTTCCACGTTATGTGTCCAAGAAATGTCATGGCTCTCCTTCTGATTCTCTATTGAAGTTCGAATTGACGAATCGGAGAACAAGGTTCGAATTCCAGTCGAATCCATTACATTCACTTACGTGCTAATACTGTTGGGAAAGGTATGAATCCTCTTCTTCTCCCCACAGCTATGGATAAATAGCAGGTCAGACCGGGTTCTATAGCCATGGATGGCGACTGGTCCACCGCAGAAAGAAATGGCAACCTACTGAGGGGAAAAAATCTGCCTCGTTAGTCATGTATCGAAAAATATATGATCGCCTAAGCCTGTATCATAACTAACTGACTGTATAAGCGTTCATTTTTTTTTTTTTTTTTTAGTATTTTCTGTAAGCCTTTCTCGTTGTTTACTCATTCTGTCCATAAAATTCTCAGGATCCTTCGTTAGAACCACAAAAAAAACAGCGTCATTTAGCGACGCGTTTACTCTGATACTTACAATCAGAATGAAGTATTTCTAAAAATATTTCTACTCGTGCTGAAAACTGGATCTTTTAGGACAATCTTTAAGACTCATTTTCATTAAAACCATATTTTTGGTTCGAAATATAGTTTTTGGATTTTCATTATCAGAATCCCGCATTTCAAGTGGAAATACAAATAAAGTCTGACGGTTTGGATGTTGATAACAATCAGGATATAAAAAGTAATAAAATACAAAAGAAAAATTGATGAGAAAAGTCACGGTACAGAAAATATATAATAAAAAGAATCAGCTTAAATTGAAGAAGACTCGATATACGGACAATGAATAAACATGTAAATAAAATTTTATCTGCTACTCAATAAAAAAAAAATCTAATTCAATCTTGTTTACACCTGTAGAATTACACACATCTGTAACGTTGCATGAACGAATGTGCGAACACGTAGCAATAAAACATCCGCCATTTTTGTGTTAGGGTCAGTTAATTGAGGCCCACGGATTTTACATTTTATATATGATTAATTTGAAAACAAAATGAGGAGAAAGAACGTGAATGTATTAAATAAGTTTTAGGGGAAATAGTGAGAAATAATTAAAATAAAAATGGAAAAGAAAAAAGATATTAGCGAAAACCGGAAGAGGAAGGAAAAAATATAATGTGAGGGGAAGAAATATAAATATAAAATAAATATATATATAAAAACAATTACCAAAAATAAACTAATAAAAAGTATGAAAAAAAAAGAGAAAATAAAACGCTTAAAAGGAGAAACGAAAAGTATTCTATTTATTAATCAAATATAACGAAAAAATGGCGATGAAATGGTAATCATAAAAGAATAGTTGGATGTAAAAGAAAGAACGAGAGAAAGAGAGAGAGAGAGAGAAAGAGAGAGAGAGGGGGAGAGATATTTTAAAAAAAGAAAAGACAAAGAAAGAGAGAATGAAAGACATAAATTATGGAAGAATTGATGGAAGTGTAATAAACAAAGAAAGAAGAAAAGAAAGAAAGAAAGAAGGGAGGAAAGAAAGAAAGGTCGAAGGAAAGGGAAAGAGAAAAAAGAAGGTGTAAAGAAATAGAGAAAAATAAAAATAAATGAAGGAAAAAATGGATAAAAACTATAAAACAATTATGAAAGAAATGACGAAAGTGAAAGAAAGAAAGAAAGAAAGAGAAAAAGAAAGAAAAAAAGGAAAAAGAAATAAAAAAGAAATGAAATAATTGAAAGAAATAAATTACAATATTCGAGAAAAAAGTATGTAATAAAATTGACGACAGGAAGTTAAGCGAAGAGAAATAAATGAATGAAAGAAAGAGAAAAGAACTTGAGAAAGGAAAACAGTAAGAACTCGAACGAAAAAAAGAAGGAAAGTAAGAAAGAAAGAAGAAAGAAAGAAGGAAAAAGAATGAAGAAGAACTCTAAAGTAAATGATGATAGATGAAGAAAAGGGAAATAAATAAATGTAGAAAGAAAGAAGGTAAGAAAGTAAAGAAGAAACAAGAATGAAAGTCAAGAAAAACTATAAAAAAAAAATGAAGGATGGAGACAAGAGAAATGACCAAAAAGAAAAAGGAGAAGAAAGAAAAAAGAATGAACAAGATAAACTCAAAAGAAAACAATGAAGAATGAAAAAAAGGGGAAAGGAAGTAAGAAAGAAAGAAAGATGGAAGAAAAAACAATCATGATTTATTTTATCGAAAACAGCGAAAAATGAAGCAAAAAAATACCCCCACCCCAAAAAATAATGACAGATTTTTGTCAACGTAACAATCGTATATTTACCACTGACGTCAATGGTTTTCCGTTCGAGCTGAAGTAAAAATCCACAATTTCGAATGCTGATTTTTCAGGTAGACGGCTCCTCGCTTGGTATTTTGATGTAAAACAATCTTTTGTTTATTCAAATTTTATGTTTTACTGACATCACGTAAACAAATTAGGCCTGATCAGTGGCTAAGATAGTTGCGTGTCTCCATCTGATGCCATTTGTCAGTATTTGTGCCAAAATAAAAGAGAATTTCGAATGCAAATTTCCAAGGCAAACAGTTTTTAACTCCGAAGAGAATGAGTGAAGCACGTTTTTGGGGGTCGCTTCTTTTTTTTTCCACTATTTAACCGATGTGCCGTGCAACAGTGATCAGATTATCTATCAAGATTAACTATGAAATATAAAGAAAATAAAAAATAAATTTTACAGTAAATAATTTGGGATTGAAGAGAAGTAAAGATAAAAATTTTTTTTTTTTTTTTAAAGAAATAGGGATTTAAAATAAAGTAAAAATATATATATATATATATATATATATATATATATATATATATAAACGATGTAATTTAGAAACAAAAAAAGAAAAACGTAATAAAAGAAGAAAGAAAGAAAATGAAGACGTTATAGGAAAAGAGAAAAAGAAAGAAAGGACAAAGGTAGATAAATCTTTAAAAAAAAAAAAAAATTAAGGAAACGATTGCCAAGAGGGAAAGAAGGAGTAAATAAAAAAAACGAGGAAAATAAAAAAGATGACGAGAAAAATGAAGGAAAAAAAGAAAACAAAAATGACGTAAGAGAAAAAAAGAAAAAAGTCAGGCCGTTATGAAAAACGACAATAATAGACAAAAGAACAAAGGAAGATGAAATTTTAGATAAAACAAAGAAAATAATTAACGTAAACAAACACACAAAACATAAAAGAAAGAAAGAATAAAAAAAAAGTCACAACCTTCCGAGGAAAACAAAAAAAAACTCCAACGGAAATTGAAAATAAAAACGGATAAAACAGACTGAAAAAAATTACCAAAAAAATATATCAAAAGAGAACAGAAAAACGTAAGAATTCAGACGAGCATCTGAGAAGCACAACACGGAAAAAAGGGTTTTTTTGAAACCATTAAAAAAAAATAGCTTTGAAAATAAAAAAAAAATAATCCTAAACTACTTGGGCAAATTATCAAAGAAAACACACCCTACAGAAGTTTCTTAAAGAAAATAACTACTAGTTAATTTTTTTTTGTCCGCGTTTATTGTGACACCAGTAAGACTAAACACAAATATCGTCTTCTTTCTAACGGAAGACTTAGAAGCGCTACACAGCGGACCGTGCTTAACTCTTCCTTGAGCCTACCTACTTTTACTTTCACTTTCGTTATTCTCCAGATCCTCCTGTTGATTCAGGATTGGTCGAAGATATCCACCAATGACGATCGTTTTTTAAAAAGTGGGGGCGTGTCAATGCTCCGACGGGACGGACAGATGTATGCCGAGACAAGTGTTATTAACTGTGGAAGTGAAGTGGTAAGGTGAGGGCAGCTTCAAGTTCCATAAGTGGCCAATAGGTTGAAGTTGACTAGAAAGAACTGCATCAGTGTTTAGTCGCAGGGTAGCAGACAATTGGTTAGAAAGGAGGAGACCTGATAGTCGCGGTCAGAGAGATAGAGACGGTAAGTAAAGGTGACGTTGGAAGCGGACAAAGAGAGGGTTTACGGAGGAAAAATAGTGAGTGATGAGGGCACATACGTGACGACAT